TTTGTATTTAGCATTCCGATCTTTCTCCTTTTTTGCTTTTTATTACAAAGAGGATGATATGGGCCCAATGAAATCTAACGGAGATATGTTTTAGGTTATAGATGTCAAAAGCGGTGTGTAACGTTTGTAGTTTAAAAAGTGCATCATAGTCTTTATTTAGTTTATTATATTCATAGTTTTAATTTCAATGTTTGCATTCGCCAGCTAGAACTCTGTACATGAAATTATTGTCCTTCTTAGTGTCCAAAAATCGGCATAAATCAAGAGAAGCCGGAAATTGCGATCGACTAGTCGAAGCGAAAAAATACCTTGGGCGCTAGCAGTGCAGTTTAACTCAACTTGTATCAATATGTCTACATGAAGAGATTTCAATAGCAATATTTATAAATTAATTTCCAATTGAATAATGTAAATGGAAATCTAATTTCGTAGCTGTGGTCCAATTAGAACTATTGCTCCTGATTTTGTACTTGGGCGTTGCGCTGAAACGTATTATGCTGTCGCTATTACTCGATGTCCGTCTTTAAATACATCGCCCGAAATGAGCTCATAACCAAAATCACGCAGTTTTAAACTTTCTTTTGTTCGCGCTAATTATATATCCGGAGGTTTGGGTGAACTGCGAGAGGATGAGAACGAATGTTGATGGAATTTAAAAATTGTCTCACTGAAAGTTTTAAAATGATTCAAGTTTATCTTTCTTTTTAAAACTACCCTAACTTTTGTCGCCGTTACCGGCCAAATCCTCGTCAAAATAACTGCTAGTTGATGAATGCTTACATTCACGTATCGTTATATTTCAAGTATTTTTAAATAAAAGTGGGTTTCCGTTAGAGCTGTGGCTATAGAGGACTGGTCGCTCCAACTCCAAAAGATATATAATGATATTTACAGCAAGGAGATGAAAATTATTAAATCTGTTTATTTGGTAAGGACGCACTAGCGTTTTTAATGGAAAAAAGCAAAAGAAGTTATAGTGCCAAAAAAATGATAAGATCCACGAAAGTTTATGTAGCTCTCAACATCTAGTTACATTAAAAAGTTGCAAGCGATGAGGGAAAGCGATGATTGTGATTCTTCAGCGCCGCAAACGAGTGTTCTCGCAATTAAGGCAATGGGCGAACAAATAAGGGATAATACAGCATGAACATTTTTAGTTTTATTTCCCAACGTTAACATCGTAAAATGTGAAGATTAAAACAAATTCAAATTTTAGAGATTTTAAAAGATGGAATAAAAGTTGCTTTATCTTTCGACATGAAAAAAAAAAAAAATTAATTTTCATCTTATCTAATTTAGGTTAGACTAAAATCGCTTCGTCTTATATTTTTAAGTGCAAATTAATTCAACAATTCCTTAGTTACGTCCTCAATAACCTCAAATGCATCATTTATGTCTGCTAAGGTTAACAAACGGTTTGCCGTAACACGTAAACTGGGACGTACTGGTTGCTTTTCTATGTTGTACAGGTAACAAGCTTCAATCACAGCAATACCACGAGCAATACACTAAAATAGAAAATTACATGATCACATTAATTATTTCTTCGCAAATATTATGTTATTATACCTTATCAGAAATTTCTATTAATTTTTTATGCTCTTCATCGATCTGCTCCCATGTAACGTTTAAATATAAATGTTTAACTGGGGAGAGTGGATGGCCTCCTATGGTTAGCTTAGAGAAATTGGAAAATATTTGATGTAGTAAGCGGGACGTTTCTTGGAGTTCTGCAAAGATCTGGGGATCCTTTTCAAAACGATTTAATGCTGATATCGCAGCTTGGGCCAGCATGGGAGGTAAGGAGGCTGAGAAGCAATAACCTACGCCAGATAAACGTTGATGCTCGACAATAAAATGAGAACCGACGCAAAAACCGCCGATAGAACCCATTGCCCATTCCATACCAGCAGAAATTAAATCAACTTCAATAAGCTATAAATAATATTCGTAAATGCCAATGTTACTTTTAAAGGCAAAAATTTACATCAACATCGAAGTGTTCAGCAATTCCGCGGCCAGTTTTGCCGAGAACCCCAAAAGAAATGCTTTCGTCCAAAAACAAACGTAACTTATATTTAGCTCTCAGCTTCACCAACTCACGTAAAGGGCATAATTGCCCAGTGTTCATATAAATTCCCTCGGCCACCAAGAAACGGCGCGTTTTAGCCGCTTTGTTGGGATTCTAAGAACAAAAATTTAGTTCAAAAAGAAAAAGTTACATTTGTATTGTAGCTGATCTCAGAATAACAATGGAGGAGAAATAAGAAAATTATATTCGGCCGCGACCGAATCGTTTATACCCATCACGGTTATCCTAAAAAAAAAAAAAAAAAATAGAGAGAAAGAAAACACTAAACTTCCTTGCTAATAATTGCTTGGGCCCGGTTAACGTTTTCTATTTTTCTAAAATAAAAGTGGAAACTTAGTCATGTATCTGTAGTAGTTTGTGGGCAAAAATCCGCCTTCTTCTTCTTTTCTTTTATTTGATATTCATATCGACGAAACTGTGAAGAAAACATTTAGAGCGATTTTGAAGGAACATCCTTAGCTTGTCCTATTCTACTCTCATAGTTTTTTTATTTAATAACAAATTGATTAGGCGGCTAAGGAAAATATCCCCCTTTGTGCAGGCCGCCATATTTATTTCAAAGCTAACAAATTTTAAACCAGATAATATATTTCCATGTTAAGAAAGTAAAGACAATTTTTCTGACTGCTGTTTGGTTTATTTTGTGTGTGGTGCCTAGAAGACGTCAAAAAAGTGAAAACATAAAACTTGGATCACTTGTAACCCCACTTTTGTACGTGATCCTCTATAAAGAAAATTGCAGCTTCCCACCTTTTATAATTTATGACTAATGAGCGAAAAGCTAAAAATTTTTGCTTAGAGAAACGGCGTTGCATTCACTTTACGCTTCACTATGAACACTTGCTTTAAACAATTTGTCCCATTTTCACACGAACCTGCTTTCAAGAACACCAATGCTTGTGCCAAATTTGACGCCGATATATTCATTTTTGCGACCAAAAGAATGTTGACCACAGACATTTCGTACACAGACTCACAGATATCCTGAAGTCGGTTCAACATTTTATGCTGCCCACGAATATATATATATTTCGTAGGGTCTCTAAAGGTTCTTTGTGGGTGCTGCAAACATTCAGACAAAACGAATATACCACCCATCCTTTGTTGGTGGGTAAAAAAGTGTATATTTTACTATTTTTCTTTCCATTTTAAGGAGAGCTGGGAATAATCGCTTTCGCGAGATAACACCAGTTCTTAAGTAGATATATCTGCAACTACAGACAACTTCTGGAACAAATCAGTCCTCTGTCTTTCTCCAGTTTTTCAAAAAAAATTGTAAAGATATCCTTAGATTGACAGAATTAAACGAAGTCAATTTTTCAGCTCTTGGAATACCTTTCCTGCATTTCTTGCTTGTAAACGTATTGGTACTTAAGAAAAATCTTGGATGGATGTAACAATGAATCAGAAAGCAAAAGTTAAATAGGTTGACGCTTCTTATCGAACTTATTTACCTTACGGTCTTTTTGTTCCTGTTGCATAAGTAATCGCTCCAGGTCGGCCATGTCATTATGTTTGTAAAAGTAAATGGTACTGCGCGACGCATCAAGGCCTTTCTGTATAGCGAAATTAACGGCTGCATCCCTTGAAAAAGAAAAAAACCGGCTTATGTATGATATTTCTCTTAAAGCATATATATATCCTACACAAATATGATATCTCCCCTTTTTGAATAGGCCGGTATCGCGCTGGCCACAGTTGAAAACCCATATGAATAGACTACTGCTTCCTCCATTCTCATAAATTTTGCAAGACGGTCTTCTAAATCCAAGTGAACGTCCATGGTACCGTAGAAACCACGCGGACCGCAGGAGCCTACACCATATTTGCGTAAACTCTTGCAAGCATCTTCCAGAATCTCTTCATCTTCCAGCAAACCCAAATAGTTATGTGAAGCTAAGTTTAAACAATCATAACCGTTCACCACTACTCGTTTACCCACTTTAGACTGAACAAGACGAACATGCAATAGTGGATGATTTGGATCAGTGTGCGGCACCAACGGTTCCGGCTCGTAGTTAGCTATAAGTTCTTCTTCCTCTTCTTTCGTAAAATGTTTGCGACCATTGCGTTTGTGCAATAACAACCATATAACTGATAATAAGAGAAAAGCTTCTAAGGTGATAGCATACAATGGAGTCTACAAAAAAGATAATAGAAAGATAATAGAAAGATAACTAATAAAAGGCGAAACCTCATTATACTTACGTTACGAAATATCCTTTCGATTTCGTTAAATAAGTACGGAATAGCTACCATTTTTTCTTTAGAATAACCGCGCCCTCTTTTACTACTTTAATAATTTAAGTTTCAAATAAATTTTTGCATTGAGTTGTCTTCCTTACAGCAAGTCCAGCAACAACAAATTCATTTCGTACACTTTCAAGCAATATTAATAAAGCAATTTCTATAAAAATTTCACAAATTGTCTCCCCGCAGGTACTTGACTTGAGTTCAAACGTGGTTATTGCGGAGAATTTTTATTTCTACATATTTTCAATTTATAGATTTCATTTTCAAAAATAGATAAACACGCAAACTTGAAAACCTCCACCCTAACTGCAATGAAAATATCATGAAAAAAAAGCATGGAACGAAAAATACACAGCAGCGATAATATGGGAATGAAATGAAAATAAAAATTTAAGTTGCAAATTTCAAATGAAAAAGGAACGAATTATCAAAATTGAGAATCATATAACATACATAATCACACTACAAAAATTGTTACAAAGCCATTGAGTATAAGTAGACGGATTCCTAAAGCGCAAAAATGAAATATTGCTCTTCATTAAAATATATATGATCCGCCTGAGTAGCCGAAGGCGAGGAATCTCGACTAGCAAGTCAATGGTCGTGGGTTCGAATCTCAAGTGCGGTAGAGTTTTTAATAAAAGCCGATAGCCTTAGATGCTAGTGCTTTTAAGAGTTTAGTCTTAGAATTTATTTCTCTGGCGAAATTAATAATAATAATAATGAAATATATATGCATCCTTTTTTTTTTTTTGCTTTTTTGTTGTCATATAAAGGAGGAATGGATCAGGCATGTAAACGATAAGACCAATATATGCAATAATGTTATGAGTTTTTAATACAAGTTCTTCTTTAGAGCTCAAGGTTGATAACAGAGAAAATTGATTATGCAGATTACTTGATAGTTATTATTGACTTATTGATGATTCAATGATGCTAATCTCTCTTGACTAAGAGTTATTCAAGTTGTGGCAGACCATCCAGTACTATCAATAATGATCAAAGGGTCAACTAACTGAAAAAGTTACAACTTTACAGTCAAATAGCAGCAACCGACAGGTGTATCGTTACGTAAATGTTCCCTCCAATCAGGAGTTTAGTCCAGAAGATTGATATCGAATTACGGTTGCATAGGAGTTATTGATTTACGGATAAAAAAAATTTGTAAGAATACCATTAAAGTAGACAAGAAGATTAATTATAATAATGGCAACTTAAAAGGAGAAGTCAGCAGTGTCAACAAAGGCAATAATTGCTGATCTTGTTGTGAGCACGAAAGATATTATATAGGTTATGATATCGAAATTCTCAAATGAATATCTAGTGCCTCGAAGTTTGAATTTGCCAAGTAATTCCGAGATGTACCTTACCATCGCGAAACCTAATGCTTCTTGACCAATTTAAGCCATCGGTGACGTAAATTGAGAGAGATATCCAAAATGTATGTACTGACTCTGAAGTTCTGAACATTACATTACAAAGGGTTAATTTTTTGCGATTTGAAAAATTTAATTCTGAAGTGGACGCAAACGGTCGGAGCAAATCGTAAGAAGGTTTGAAAGAATTTATCTAAATCATTAATAGCAGATAAGGCCTTTGTTCTCTAGAGAAATGCTATTTTATATGGAATATGAGAAGAAGAAAGGACGATCGGAAACAGAAAAACAGACTTTAAAAGAAATGAATATATAAATAATAATAACAACGTTAAAAAACTCTTTATATATAGTAAATCTTTGCCGTACAGTTTTATGATATCGAAATGAAAAAAATGATACAATTCCAAAGACAAAAATCCAAAGGATGATAATGAAGAGTAATTCTTTATTGCAGGTGTATCGTGTTGATAACCTGCTTAGCAATTGAAACGTGTCGTCATTAAGCTTAATATATACCTTCGCTTACTCAAGAGGTGACGGACGCCCCTATTCACAGTGCAAGCATCTGCATATCGTAATTGATGCCCTTAAATAAATTTTGCAATTGATTCGGAATTTGAAAAATGTAAGATCATTGACCTTCAACCTCGATTAGATGTAACGAAACTAGCCAAAATAGAACTTTAGTAGACCGAACAGTCCACGCGTCATTTTGTAAGAATATCCAGTTTCAATTTCCGTTAGTCCGATTGATGAAGCACAATATCTTTCAACGACACAGTCCTTCCGAATATATCCCAAATTAACGCAATGTGGAAGTTGGCGAAACGATGAGGCGTTCTTCTTGTGTCCTAATAGACATGTATTGACCGAAATTGCACAACATAAATTTAATTATGAGCTGTTCAATCCGCTCAGAGTCGTTTGCAAGAACCTAAATGACATCTACCACTTATTCTCGTTATCGGACTCCTTAAAGTCCATTAAAGCAACATTGCTTAATACGCGCGATTTACCTATGTCGTATTTAAAGTAGCTTTTATCCTTAAAAAGTCGTTACGTTTCGAAAGTGAATTATTGTCAATTTATTATCGATTGCCAGGCTTATGCATGTTTGCGATGACTTAGGGGTTCATTTGCAATTTGGTCCTGTACCGGTTGTAAGTGTGGCTCTATGCTGATTGTGTACATGCTTTTTTCTTTTTTTTTTTTTCTTCTTATTTGTTTTATTATGCTTATACTCAATTTTATTGTTAATTAATATTAGTTTTGCATTAAGAGCCTATTGAACTCGACTGTTTATGCTTATATGCACACAATGCATGCTTGCGGTACATATACCGTCTGCTTATCAAGAAAGTAAACAAAAGTTAAATGAAATTAAATGAAAAATGTCAGCAGAATCGTGAAATGTTTCTTTCTTTAGTAATGGATACCCTATTTTATACCTATCGCAAAGTCGAGTTTTTAATGCGAAAACCCTGTTTTAAATGGCCTCTTCACCTAAAGTAGCGCGAAATTTTTCTTACAATTTTTTAATAAAAAAGAATAATGTACGAGCGTAGTTCGTTGCGTTATGCCCATACTAGTGGCTATACCGGCTTAATTTACATTGACGATGGATATATGTTAACTTGCGGATCTGATGGAGATATACGAAAATGGCAAGGCATTGATGACGACGATCCAATTTCTAATTGCTTAGGTGAATTTGTAGTGTGTTTGGCTCAGAGAGGCGACAAGCTTTTGGCATCTACCGACCATAATACTGTACAATCGTATATTTTACCTGACCTGGATAAGGATGGAACTCTATTGAGATTTACTGCTCCAGTAATTGATATAAAAATTAAAGATGATTATATAGCAGCTTGTTCGGAGGACACCACTATTAAAATATTAAAAGGTGATGCAACCCAACCAATGGAATTAAAAGGACATGAAGGACCAGTATTAGCTTTAGATATACACCCTAAGAATACAATGTTGGCCTCTTTCTCAGGTGATGGCTCAGTAAAAGTTTGGGATTTACAAAACGAAGGCAAGGAGCTTTATTCTGTTCAGGGATTAAGTAAAACTAACAGTTTCGAAAATGCAATTTGTTTCGGTACACCTTGTTTCGAGCCAACCGAAGGCAAAATTTTGATATACATAAAGAAAAATGAAATTAAAGCGATAAGCACAACTAATTGGGAGCATTTATTTTCCTTAAACGATGACAAGGTGAAAGGTGAATACACTTATTGCCAATTTTCTCAAAATGGTTTATTGTTAGCAGCTGGTACCAGCAAAGGAGAAATTTCAATATTTGATTTTATTGCGCGCCAATCTAAGAAATGCGAAGGACCCTCGAGTGAATGCCAATCCATCACATGTTTAGCTTGGAGCACTAAAAACAATGAAGAATTAGCCTATTGTGACGCGTCCGGGCAATTGGGTACAGTATTTGCTAGTTCTGGACTTCAAAAAGAAAATGCAGCTGGAGATGACGGCGAGTTATTACTTAATAATGATTTTGATGATATAGAATTTACGGGAGCTACAAACGATGATGCTGAACGTCTAGCAAAAATTAAAGCAGTTAACGACGATGATGATGATGACTGGAAATCTATTGAAAAGTTAAAAAGTAAAATTAAAATCTACAATGGCGAAGACTTACCTGCAGATGAAGATACTAAGGATTCCGTGTCTCGCAACGGGTCTTTAAGTCCTTGTGTAGATAAAAATGCGCCCGCCGTGTCGAACGGTTTTAAGCTACAAAGCGCTTTTCAGCCCAGTTGCACGCCCATTCATTTGGAACATCGTTATTTGGTATGGAATGGCGTGGGTATTGTAACTTCTCATGCCGATGGCGCCAATGGTGCTATTGACGTAGAATTCCATGACGCCAGTGTTCATCATTCATTGCATATACCTAATTATAATAATCATAATATGGCGAGCTTAAGTTCGACGGCTTTAGTTTTAGCTGGTGAGGATTCAGCAAAAGTAGTAGTAATTGCTTTAGCTGCTTCTGGTAATAAGGAGTGGAGTATGCAGTTGTCTGAAGAAGATGTGGTAGCTGTAGTGGCTACTACAAAATTGATAGCTGTAGCGACAAGCATGCAATTTTTACGCATTTTTACTATAACTGGCAGCCAAAGGGAAATAATTTCTATACCTGGTTCAGTGATATGTCTCTCAGGCTTTGAAGATCGCATTATGTTGAGCTACCATGCTGCTCCCGCCAGCCAAAAACAACAAAATATAACGGCTATGTTATTGCACGCTTGCGGGCTAAGTTTAAAGTGCAAAAATATTACTTTACCTTTAACGCCGGGACGGCAATTGGTATGGCAGGGATTTAGCGACTGTGGCTCTCCGGTATTCGCTGACTCTATGGGCTTAGTGCAATTGTTTAATGTGAAAAGTAACTGTTGGTATCCTGTATGCGACACGATGAAATTATCATCCAGTGTTTCCAATAATTACTTCGTAATATCTTTGTCGGAGAGATCGCAAATACTCCAGGCAGTTCTTTGTCGCGGCTGCTCCTATCCTATGACTACTCCAAGGCCTTTGATGCAAGAGTTACCATTGCAAATGCCATTGTGTGACTTAGAAAGTGAAAAAACTTTACTGGAAGATTCCCTACTTAGATCGTCTATAATGGCAGTTGATAATGCAAACAAAGTGATAAAAGAAGTTTCTATTAAATTATTTGCTTTAGCCTGCCGTGGTGAAGTAGAAACGCGAGCTAAAGAACTAATTGAGACAATAGCTTGTCCAGATTTGTTAATGCTAGCAGTTAAATATGCTACAAAATTAGGTCGCATACATCTAGCTGATCGCTTAACTGAACTATTGCCACAATTAGAAGAAGAGCAAGAGAAACGGAAACAAGACGAACAACTCGCCGAAAACACTTTACAACCGTCATATCCGACACCTACCTACCTGAACGGCCAACCTTTAAACAATTCAACAAAATTAGCACCCAAACCAATGGAATTGGGATCAGGCAAAAAATTAACTCTTAAAAAGTTTGCTTTTAATTCTACGTCGAATGACTCCAGAAAATTTGGTATGTTGAACGATTCCCTATTAGCCACAACGACAGACATTTCCGGACAATCCGAATCGATTTTGCCATCCTACGGAGACTCGGTTGATGATACGAAAATCATAACACGTAGTCCATTTAATTCTGTAAATCCTTTCGCTTCGAAACGGAAAATTTCTGATATTGATAAAGGCAGCGTCTTAATGGGTTCAGAAAAATTAAAAATTGCTAGGAAATAATTAATTTCTGTAATTAAAAAAAAAAAATCAAATTCTTTTAATTATTTTTAACAAGCCCTAAAATAAAATTAATTAAAATAGAATAAACTTTTAAAATATAACTAACTTTCGTAATTAAAGAAAAAAAAGAAATTGTCTTTAAAATAATTTTTAAACTGCAAAGGGAAGTGCAAAATTTAAAAGTAACTAAGATGAATCTGCGCAAACGCACGCAATGCTAGAAAAATTAGAAAAAGGGCATTCTCTGTGTCTGTCATTCACGAAATTTGTGTCGCTGGTTCTCCCAATAGCAAAGACCGCAATCGGGCTTGCTACGGTAATCAGACACACAAATTCGAAAATTTATTTACATGGGTGGCCGGCCTTGAGAGGCAATAAATTAAAAGCAATCTTAGCAAAATAATATGATAGGTTGCAAAGGAAGAATGGATAAGGCCTGTAAATGAAGAAGCCTATACACCAGTAACGTGAAATGTAGAAATTTCTCTGATGTGATGTTTCATCGGTTGTGACATTGAAAGGTGAACTGATGAATTGATGAATTTCAACGAAAAACAAGAGGATTATGCGGCTGATTGATGGAGATCCACTCCCTTACGTGGCAAAAATTTACCGGTAGTTAGTATCGTACTGTCGAATTCCAGATAAATTTCCCAGAAGAATGAACTACAAGCTTAGGCTGCTTATTTTTACGATAAAGATAGTAGAAGAAGAAGACTTAAAAAAAAGACACCAGCAGTCATCTGTTTGAGATGTGTACAACTACTAGAACGAAAAATTTGAATATTTTCAAGTCTACAGCTTATTCCAAAAAGCTTCACTCGAATCTTCGAGCCGTATGTTTGCAAAAATTAAACTTCTGTCTAGAAAATGACTTCATAATATATCCCACAGACTGTTCGGAAAATTTTGGGACATCCACCTTTTCGGTAGTCGGAGATCCAGAGCTACTCCTAGTTTAATTCGAAGCCTTGGAAGGACTAACTTCCACCTTTATTGAGCTCCTTACTGGCAGAAAGTCTGCGGTTTCTGCTAAATGCAACAGCAAAAAAGTTCGTCTTCTCTGACAAAAAATCGCTGTTGATGTGTATCAAAAATAAAGATACACGCAACATGTATGTTTTTGAGATCAATAATATTTTAAATAATCCTCTCCTTGAAGAATGCCATTTGATCTGGGTACTAGGCCGCAGCGGTTTCAAGTTAAATGAAGAGGCTGGTATGCACTGAAGCTCAGTTTAATGTTGGAATCCTTTCAAACAATTATCCCACCTGTCTAATTCGGGTGACTATCATGAAATCTCTCAGGAAAAAATTGATGGTCTTTTTTATAAGATTCATCTTTTCCTGACTTTTTAGCCCCTGCCGAATGGCAAGGTTATAACATGG